GGAAAGAGGTGGCATGGCCAGCCCGCGGGCGAGCCCTTCCCCGCGGGACCGCAGCCTGCCCGCCCGGGAAGGGGGAAGAAAGCCCGAAGGTATTTGGTCACTAGCATCATGAGTTCCCGTTCGTTCTCAGCCCATCACAAACAGAGGAGGTCTGCAAGGCCGCGGATAGAGAAGTGCGTGATTTCGGCAGGGCAGCAAGCGGAGGCGTTAGAGGTTGTCGTACATGCGTAACGTCTTCTCCAGCTGCTGGCTGACGCGCTGGTAGAAGACGATCTGCTGCTTTAAGTAGGACTGCATCATCCTCTTGAAGTCGGCCACGCGCCGCTCGTGGAAGTGGTTCATCTCGGCTTGCAGGGCGAAGCCCACCACGCGGCAGCGCTTGCGGATCCCGTCTGCCTCCTCCTGGTCCATCCGGCCCTCGTCGCTCATCCGCTGGCTCTCCTTCACCTTCGCGAAGGCGCCTGGCGAGGCAGGGGGAAGGGGGAGAAGCTGAGGGATCTGTGGGTCCCTCCATCCCCCTTCCCCTGGCACAGGCGTCCCCGGGCAGCACCGTTGGGTCCCATCGTCCTCCGTCCCGGGGCACCAGCCTGGCCCCACGGCCGGAGGTGCAGTGCTGCCCCACGTTAATAAGGGAGGGATCTGCGCGCTCCCGGGCTGTCATCTCCCTGTGCCCATCAATCCCCATCCCTCTCCTCCAGGCAGGGAAAGACCAGGAGCCTTTTCCCTCTGGACTCTGACCTCCCCAAGTCCTTTTCCGCCCCATCCCTGGGCAGTCAGCCTCATATTTAGAGGGAGGTTTGGGGGTCTGGGCTGCTGGAGGGGTGCAACTCAAAGCTCGGGCTGCGAAGCTAACGTGGGGCAGCCAAGCGTCCCGGCCGAGCCTGCCCTGCAAATGTTCGACGTCACCCCACGGATGGGGGTCAGAGCAGCCCTGGGAGACCCGAGACCGGGAGGCGGTGAATCGGGGTGCGGGGTGCACTGCCAGCTGGAGCTCGGCTGGGAAAGCATCTCCCTCTCCCAGAGGCGGCTGATGCTCTGACACCAGTTTTTCCCCCTCCTTCCACTTATTTTTACAGCTCGGTTTCGAAAGAATCCTGCCTGGCTCCAGCCCTGCATTCCTCCCTCCTCATTAGCACAGAGGCTGTTTGCCTGAAAACAGGATCTGGCCCGCAGCTCGCCGGGCTTTTTTCCCTTCTCCCTGACCCTTGCCGGGAGCGCCGGACCCGGGGTTATGGTGCTCCCGCTGCGCCAGCCCCGCTCTCAGCGGAGAGGAGGAGGAGGAAGAAGCAAAGGTTGGAGGCCAAATCCTGCCTTCCGCTCTGCCCACGCGGCCTCGCTTCCGGACGGGATCCAGCCCCTCTTCGCCCGCCGCTGTAAACAACGCGGGGAGGGAAAGGCAAGGAAGCGGCCCGGGCTGGATCGCCTCCCC